TGCTGGGGAGGGACTAAGGGGTGAAGGAGGCAGGGGTTGCAGGAGAGAAGAACAAGAGGGGGTGCAGAGGCATGTCACCACTATGACCTATCTACGTGGTGAATGAGTTCTCTGCTTTTAAAGGTACAAGCAGCATTAAAAACATTAATTTTAGAAAGCCCACACTCTCAGCACCCCAAAAATTCACTCTATTTATTTTTCTACTTCCTTTTTGACCATATACATATTTCTTTCTTCTTTTGAATTGTAACTTATTTTCTTTTCCTATAACTCACCTGAATTTCTGGCTCAAGCCTCATTTCCACACAATAGGAGGAAATTTAGTTTAGGCACTTCTTGATAAATGCAGCCAAATTCAATGGTTTATCATTATTTCTTCTTGGTATTCAGGGTGAGGGTGCTACCCTTGCCTCCGCTCCTTCCACATCCCCATCCTTGGGCCAGATGCTAAGGGGCCCTGTGTCTTTGGAAAGGGGCTTCCAGATCTTAGTATTGCTTTCCTCAGCCTGTTCAGCCATCTGCTTAATGTAACTTGGGGACATAAGACTTCTCCTTTCAGACCCACCTCTCTGCCATTTCTCCTGTGTTCCTGCCACAGTCATGCGCTGCTGGACCATACCCTCCATGTTTCTCTGGGGTTCACCTGGAAGCAAGGCTCGGATCTTCATGGCTCTCATAGCCTCACATTTGAAGAGGAGTGGGATCTTTCTTATTTTCCCCGGAATTCTGCTTGAGGCCAAAGGACAGAGTCCCTGCACTGAGTCTTGCTCTTATTTCTCTACACTCCTGCCTCAGCTTAGAGAATCTCTCTCTAGTTCTCCAAATCTAATAAGTTGACATCTTTGTGCCTGGTTCCTTTGTGAGGGGGCCACATAAGGAGTAATGTCTGCTTCATATATCCAGGCACAGCATGGGGGATGTTAACACATTTAAGGGGAAAATGATTTAATATTTCGTAGTATCAGCCTATTATAGTTGTATTGTCTTATAATTGTAACTTTGCATTGGGGCCATTTTAACACAGTACCAGAAGCATTTTGCAACTGAGCCATCATAGAGGTCCTTCTTGGTGGTTGTAAAATGCTCACTCCTTTAAATGGCTATAACATAACTTAGTTAACCATCCTTCTACTATTGGACCTTTGTTTCCAATTTTTAGCTATTATACATAGCACTGCATAAGAGTTAGTGAAATTTGAAAGAAAAACTTATATTAACAAGAAGCTTGAAAATTCAATTTTATAAAATTGCTCTGAATTAATGTGGATGAAGCAACTGCCTGCGTGATGGTATTTACCTGTGGCATAGTGATTATTTATGATCTTAAAAGCAAGATCATAAATAATTTTGCACATTAGGGGCTCAGGTTCTTACCGTAAGCCGACTGCTATCATTTACACAGCCCCAGTGGTATGAGGCTGCGGTGTTTCAGAGGAGATTAGAATCCCCAGCAACTGGGACTGTTGTCTTCTCTGGGCTGGATCAAGAAGGCAGATTGGACACACTGTCCCATAGAATTTTCTCTTTATTGGCTTACATTCAACCACAACTTTATGGTTTGAAATTCCAGAGCCCTTTTTTCTACAGGAGTAAAAAATCTAAGGAGTTTCTGCTAGTTTGCTGAACACAGTTTAAAATTTTCATCATTCAGGAAATTTATGAACTACTGCATTGCAAAATAGCAAAGTCCTTGATATGGAACTGAAAGTCCTAAAAACAAGAATATATGAATATTCTTATTCCTACAAACTAAAATTTGCAAGAATGTTTTATAAGATTTTTATAGGACATTTCTCAATAGCCCACATACAAGATCTCCATTTTGTAGTCATTTTCGCTTCGAAAAAACACAGAGATAAATGGAACCATCTCTTACAAACAACATCACAAAGATTTGGTGTTCAAGACTAGCAATACCACTTCTAAGATTTTTCCAACAAACATAAAAAATGACTTATGTGAGTCAGCGTAAATATCAAAATAGTTAATTCAAAATAGCAAAAAAATTGGAAACAATTTAAATGCCTATCAATAGAGAACTGGTTTAAATATTAAGGTACAGATATATGGTAGAATCCTATATCCCTGTTGTTAAAAAATAAGTAAGTCTTTATGTTTTGATGTAGAAGGATTTCCAAGATACCCTGTTAAATGATAAAAATAATGTTCAGAAAAATGTTTATAGTGTCCTAACATTTGTGTAGGAGGAAAGAATATCTATATATGCTTATAAATTCATAGATTATTTCTTTAAGAACATTGAAGAAACTGCTAACAGGAGTTGCCCTCAGGGAGGGGAAACAGGGCCTGGGGACAAAAGAGCGAAAGAGAATTTTTTTCACCATATAATCTTCTAACTCTTAAATTTTTTACTGTAAGCATATGTTACCCATTAGAAAATAATTTATTTGGCAATTCCTCAAAATGCTAAACGTAAAATAACCATATGACCCAGTGATTCCATTCCTGAGTATATACCCAAAAGAACTGAAAACAGGGAGTCCAGCAGATACAATTCACTGATATTGATAGCATTATTATTATTATATTATAATGATTATTATATTATATTATATTAATAGTAATTATTATTATTATCATGATAGCCAAAAGGTGGAAACAACCCACGTGCCCATCAACAGATGAACGTGGTATATACACACCCTGTATTTCAGTCATAAAAAAGAGGGAATTCTGACACGTGGTCCACCATCAATGAACCTTAAGGATGTTATGCTGAGTGAAATAAGTCAGACACAAAAGCACAGGTATTGTATGAGTCCACTTAACATGCAAAATCTAGAATAGGTAAATTCATGGAGACAGAAAGTAGATTAGCAGTTACCAGGAGCTGTGGGGAAGGGAGATGGGGTAGTTATCACTTAATAGTTACTGAACTTTGGTTTGGAATGATAAAAAAGTTTTGGGAGTAGATATTATAGTTGTGATGATTGCACAACATTGTGAATGTAATGAATGCCACTGAACTGTACCCTTAAAAAATGGATGAAATGGCAAGTTTTATATTGTATATTTTACCACGATAAAAAATTCAAATAAAATGTAACTTAAAGAAAAAAGTCCTGTACAGCTTAACCTCTTCTCCACCACCGATTTTCCCAGAAACATTCTTGCAACCTGACCCCATACTCCCAAAACAAATAGTACCTAGTGCGTGGTGTATGCGAGGGTCCTCTATTGGGCACTGCTAAAAACAGAAAGCTATGTGGACAGATGGCCTGTGTTTCAAAGGAGATTATCACGTAGACTAGGCAGCAGACAGAGGTAAAGCAGAAAGAGTGCCAAATGCACATTCTGGCCGTGAGCTATGAGTGCAGAGGTGGGAGTAAACCAAGCCTGACTGGAAGATCCAGGATGGCTTGACACAGGAAGTACCTTGAAGGTGACCTGGAAGACGCAGGATTCATTCGAGGCTCAGAGAGCTGGTGAGCCAACTTGCATTGGTCTGGAGGTGAACCTCGGAACAAAGGGCAGTGGTAGTCTCCTGTCGCTGATGTGTGCGGAGGTGAGGCTCACTCTGTAAGATGACTCTGGAAAGGGAGTAGAGGCCAAATGCTGTCAATTTTGAAGTGTCCGGGCTTTTAAATCCTGGGTATGGGGAAATAGCTTCAGTATTCTTTCTGTTCTTTTCCACTATCTTATTTACCATTTAGAGATGTAAGCCTTTTACCCTTATCAAGCAGCAACCTTTAACAGTTTACATGTTTTTAATGTTTTCTTTCCAATTCAAGCTATGTTTGCCATCTAGTGATTAATCCCCGTCATTACAACGACCTACTTAAAATTCCTTGTTTCTTAGCACTGCAGCCAAGCTCATAGTCCTCCGACTTTCCATTCCTTTGGCAGGCGCTTCTGCCCTGAACTTCATTTTCCACATGCTGTTGTATGTACATTGACATTCAGAGACATCAGTCATAAAAATATGATCCCTCCAAGAGTAGTAATAATATTCACATGAAAAAAATTTAGCTGTTTGGGAGAAAACGAGCTTTAAAAACTAAGTATTATGAAAAGTTTAAGTAGGCTCAGACTTAAAAATGAACTAGTAGCAACACCTTCGTGTGAGTACACCTCTCAGATACACCGGCAAGATGCGCTAACCACAGTGGATAGCACATTCATTTCCAGGCTTTTTCTTCTTCCTGTATAACTTATAAATGGAGACAAAGACTTTAATGTTTCTGACTCCGAATAACTGGCACCTATTTGAACATAATTCTTCAAATTTCTGAATGCAGGTCAAAGTGGGGAGCTATACTGTCTTCTCCTGTTGTTATATCATTAGGTAGAATTCCATTTCCTTCCAAGATTGTCATTAATCGGTTGGGAGAGTGGGCCGTGAAATACTGTGCTATATGTGCAAGGGATTTAAAAATAAACATTAGTCATTCAGGATTCTTAAAGAGCCAACGGTAGTATTTTACAGCTGAAACCTCAGTTTCTAAATACATAATAATAACTTCTGTATTGGAAAATATACTGGATTCAGTATGTCCTTTTGCCTATGAGATCTAGGCCGTGGGAACTCATTTACTCAACAATTACTAACTGAATGCACACTGTTTGCCAGACCGATTTTGGTACCGTGGATATAACTTGTTACACATATAACTATTATGATACCGTCTTTTTAAAAAACTTTGTTATAATCTCCCTCTCCTTTCCATGAGATCCAAGTAAGGCTTTCTTACACTGAGTTTTGTCCCACAAAGGATTCTGTCCTAGAAAGTTAATGGGTAAAGTTCCTACTTTACTGTCAAGTTCAGCTTATTGTTCAGGCTATGAATTAATAGCCTGGATAACAGCTCTGGCCTCCAATCCAACAGCTCCCTCCCCCTGCCCCAAGCCCTGAAATGTGATAGAATGTATTGCAGGAAGCCATTCGCTCAATCTCTAAAACCGTGTGAACTGCTTGGCTGTCATTTTAAACTAATGCTTTATCTTTTTTTGCTGAGTTTCTCTGCATCTGAATTTTTTAGGGAAAACCAGAAATATCGTGTATATATTGTGATACCACTTCTGCCAGGGTTTGAAGGGGACATTTCAACCGGTGGAGGAAATGCTCTACAGGCAATAATGCACTTCAACTACAGGTACCAAAATTCTAAATTGTCTGTTCTGAGCTTTCAATCAGTCATCCATATAAGCAGGTGACGGGAACGGCTATGTTTCTTCACATCCGTTCACTGGAGTGTTGAACAAATGAACACCTTTTATTTTACTCTCAAATCTTATCCTGTTTCCTAGTTGATAAAATTCAAATAAAGCCTAAAATTATAAAATGGTGGGCCTAGTACACATGGTAAATACAAAATATAAAAGAACTAAAATAGTAGTCTGTCTTTATGTTCATTGTCTATGTGTATATATTTAATATAATGTTGATTTTAAATTATCTTTAAGCGGTTAAATAGTTACTGAGCTTTACAAATTCTTTGCACTAAGTAGAGAAAAGAAAAAAATTAAACGCCTAAAATGGTATGATTTGCACCTGTTTGGTTAGGATGGTTTAGACAGCAAGTCTCCAACAAGGTTGGTAATGATAGCCTCTGTCAGCAAATGAACCATGAAGAGTCTTTCCTGTCTCTTGGCATTTTCATTCTGTCTTCACTACCACATCTTTCTTAAGATTTTAGAGAAAATTCTGTGCTTGATATTTTAAGAAGCCGAGTTCTCATATTCAATACAAAAAAGCACACTGGGGTTCCCCTGAGGCTTTAGATGTGGCCAGTGGAGCACTGTGAAGAGGGTTGGGAGGTCCCGGCAGGGCAGCGGGGGTAGAGTAGCAGCGTGGAAAGGCACAGAAAGGCACTGGACGGGGACCAGAAGCAAAGAGGTGAGTGGGCAAGGCCTGGGCATGAATCCAGCCCCCAGTTAGAAGCTCTGGTTCCTGAGATACAAGAGAGCCCAATTCAGTGACATGCTTTCAGTAAGGCAGAGCAAAGACTAGAAGCTGGATGTTTCCTTTAATATCTCTTGTTTTTCTGAATGACTTATAGTTTCTCACCTTTCTAATCACATCCTTTTGAAAGGTGGGAGAGGAAAAATGAGACCTTACAAAAAACACTCGGTGTGCAAAGCAGATAAGCATTCAGGGCCTTGGTCAAATTGGGGGTGACAGCTTAGATGCCCTCCTGCTTGGGACCCCTTGCCAAAAATAGCCCCTGCAGAATCTGTGTACAGTTTGAGTGCATCATTGTGGTGGAATTTTTTATTTTAATCCTCTTATTTCTCACCAACTTTTCAAGTTTATACATCTATCTGCCAGGGTTTCAAGTAAAGTGGTTTTTTTTGTTGTTGTTTCCTCTAGAATAATTTTGCCTAGTTATGGTATGAGAGAACTTTAACTGTGCTTTGGTCAAAGATTTGCCCAATTCTAATGTTATCTGATTTATAACATGACAAACAAAGCTTTCCAAATATTTAAGGCACTGACATGATGTTTAATTGAATTATATCCACTTCATTTGCCATTCTAATATTAATTTTGGAATATTGTCAATTGTAATTATTTTCTGTGACTATTTTCTTGAGTTTGAACCAACTGAATGAAATAACATATTTGGCTTTTGTTCAGCAACCAAAACTATAACCTTTTATTATGTAAAAACATCTCTATTTGCTGGCATCATCTTTAATAATATCAGCATTTCCCAGGCATAACTGTATTTTGATTACTTTTATAGAACAAGCAGATAGAATATAGAATTTTTGGTTTTGTCCGTCTTTATAATTCATTAACTATTATCAAAGTCTTAAGAAACAAAATCATTAGTAGAGTGAGCTCAGGCTGTATTTTTCACTTTTAAGGGGTTTTGCTGACTTTACAGAGAGAGCCCATTATAATAGTTTAATTCCTAAATTATTCTGCTAAGTGTTTGCCCTTTTTAACTCTGAAAGCAGTGTGATTCTGAAAGTATTCTTATCTACTGACACATTCTAAATTTATCTTTGCTGTCACCAAATTTTGTAAGAGGGAAAGTTCATTCATAGCCTATCTTTTTTTCTAACAGCTTCTCTTTCTGAAATCTAACATTGATTTTATAACTTTTCCGTTTACCCATCTCAAAACAACTATCTTCTCCCATCAGTAACATTACAAAAGTGATATTCATATAATTTTTTTAGCTTTTAAAAATATATTTAACAGCTTCTCATAGAAGTACTTGTTCTGTTTTTACTTGTCTCAGGATTAAACTTACAGAGATAATTATTTCTTTCCATATTTTCAGAACCATGTGCAGAGGAGAAAATTCCATCCTTGGACAGTTAAAAGCAGAGCGTAAGTAACTGCTTTTTTTCCCTCGCATGGTTGTTTTTCAGTATGAAAGTGAGGTATCCGTAATCATTAATGTTTCCAGCGTGATTATAGAATTCTGCTTATAAAAGATACCCCACAAAATAATCAACTGAGATAAAGTATTTATTCTCATTAAGTTGCCCAAACTAATGTTCAAATGAAGACACCAAGACGTGAGATGCATACATAGGTCATAAAAAAATTAGTGTCTTCGTAACTTTTATTTTTTATTATTTATTTATAATAATTCTGTTGTTGATAACTGAGATTTGTAAGGCATTTAACAGAGACCCTGCATGTGTATTCTCCGCTGATCCTGTACCATAGTCCTGGAGAGTAGGCAGGACAGGTGTCATCCCTGCTTTAAAGACGAGGAAAGAAATGCTTTGTGGTCACAGGTATTTATGTGGCTTCCTATATATGCAGAAATTCCAGAGTTCTTACAACACTTTTTTATATTTAGGGAAGAAAGTCTATCATACAGCTATTTTGCTGCCACTCACATTTGACAAACCTTTAAGAGTTTTGGACTAGAAGTAGAGAAGAAAAAACAACAGAAATACATTTCACTTCATAGTTCATACTTTTTGAATGGAAATTTCTCAGGTATTTTCTTAACTGATCCTCCTACCTAAGTCTTGGCTACAATATATTGTAACTACGGGTTTACTTATCTATAGCTCCCTGAGTTAACTGAGTTCAGCAAATAGTAGGTGCTCAATAATGGTCTATAATTCTGTGTAGTAGGTACAAATGAAGCTAGAGTCAGAACCAAAGTTGTATGGCTTCTAGTTCAAGTTGGATCCAGATTATGAAAACTTAGGCAGCTACACTAAAAAGACTAGATTTTATCTAGAAGACAAGAGGAGGCTGGTGGAAGCCTCTGAGCCCCTGGAGTGAACTCTTCAAAGTGGTGTTTATATGAAGATTCGCTTATTCTCGGTAAGCAGGGTGGAGAGAGGCTGGTGGGCAGGCAAGAGATAACGGTACACTGGTAATGGAAAAGGAGGATCACGTGTGGATAACACTGTGAAGGAAGACTCTGAGGGGATGTGGGAGCAGGAGAGTAAGGGAAGTGTCAGATGATTCTAAGAGTTTCAACCCAAGTGACCAAGAGAATGGAGCTCCACAAGGAGTTCTGTAGAAGCCAGAAGGAGCCGTCATAGTCACGTGATGCCATGTGATATGCCTTCAGATATAATATAAACCTCAATTGAATTTTTTGAAGAAATATTTTGTTTTATACTGGTAACCCCCTAAATGGGGTACACTGGATAATGTATTGAAATTTGGGGAGAAAATATTAGACCTTCCAAGTATGTATATTTTTAACTTAAAAATAAGGAATTGGGTCATCAGCAGGAATGGCAGTGTAAGGATCTCCAAAAATACACCCTTCCATAAAAGCAATAAAAACATTGGCAAAAATTGTCAAAATCAACATTTTCAGTTTTCAATTTTCAGTTGATTCTGGAAATTAACCAAAGATTTGTAACAATCCAAGGAGTTAATTCAAGGGCAGGGGGGTGGGGGGAGGGGGAAGGAGGAAGAAGGGGACGGGTACATGCATACACAAAGAGTGCAATGCTCACCACCCGAAGGATGGACATATTTGAAACTCAGACTTAGGGGGGAAGGAGGGCAAGGGCAACATACGTAACCTAAACGTCTGTACCCCCATAATATGCTGGAAAAAATAATAATAAATAAATAAAAGAAAGAAAAAGAAAAAGAAAAGCAACTGAATCTTGGTAAGAACAGCGGGCTTTGTGGCATTTTAACTTGCCATAGACCCACACTCCCTTCTCCTCAACTCCATAATAGTTTTAAAAAACAAGAAGTCCTCAGTCATGAGGAGGTGAAAATCAGCCACCCAGCAGCGCCTAGCAGCCATCGGAGAAAGCAGAATAGGCTGGAAGCTCCCATCCCCTGGCAATTCTTGGAGAATTTTCATTATTTGACCAGTCTGGCAATTCTCTTTAAACCACCATTCAAAGAACTAGTATTTATTTCACCTGACTCAGAACTTGCTTAGTATAAATAGTCTTTTACCTGGGTATTTATCAAAAACAATCAGCAACAATTATTTAACATCACATCTGCCTGAGGCAGTGATAACAGTTGAGCAAACCAGAAGCTGACAAAAAAAAACTTAAAAGGAAAAGTTGGGGCAAGAGAATCATAGGGGGCATTAGAAAGCTCCAACATATTCCTGGGAATGTAAAAGGCTATGGGTAAGGGTAGGACTATGTGTATGCCCAGGGCTATGCACACGCTCAAGAAAAACTTGAGAAGGCCCTAAACTCATACCTCTGGCTGACGCTGAAGCATTGTGCAAGCAGAAAGTGAAGCCTAAGGCAGAATTATAAACTGCACGCCTGAGCATTTTTAGGGCAGGCCCCCTAAACACAGAGGCACTCAGTAAAAGTGTGAGAGACTCATTTGTTCCAGGCATTGAAGAAATCATATAAAGTAGGTCTCTGGCCACAATGGAATGAAATTATAACAGACGGAAATTTTGGAAATTTACAAATAGGTGAAAATTAAACAACACACTTCTAAATAATCATAGAATCAAAGAAAATATTTCAAAGGACAGTAGAAAATATTTTGAGATGGATGAAAACGAAAACATATCAAAACTTATGAGAGAGCTATAGCAATGCTTAGAAGGAAATTTATAGCTATAAACATTTATATTAAAAAAGAAGAAAGGTCTCAAATCAATAACTTAACCTTAAATCTGAAGAAACTAGAAGAAGAAGAGCGAACTAAACCCAAAGCAAGCAGAATGAAAGAAATAATGTAGATCGAAGTGGAAAGAAATGAGATGATAGAAAAACAACAGGGAAAATCAGAGGAACCAAAAGATGGATCTTTGAAAAGATCAACCAAATTAACAAACCTTTAGCTAGGCTGACTAAGTAAAAAATAGAGAAGATCCAGGTGACCAAAATCATGAAATAATAGGAAACATTACTACTGGCCTACAGAAATAAAAAGGAGTATAAAAGAATACTATCAATTATTGTATGCCAACAAATTAGTTAACCTAGATAGATGGGCAAAGTCCTATAAAGACACCTGTTGGTCAGAGTTCTCCAGAGAAACAGAATCAGTAGGATATGTATAAGAAGAGATATTAATATATCATGAGGAATTGGCTCACATGATTTTGGAAGCTGAGAAGTCCCACAGTCTGCAAGCCAGAAATCCAGGAAAGCTGGTGGTATAATTTCAGTCCAAGTCTGAAGGCCTGAGAATTTGGGGAGCCAATGGTGTCAATCCCAGTAAAAGGGCCGTAGAAGACCAATGTTCCAGCTCAAGCAGGAACACAGGAAGCAAAAAAGGTGAATTCCTCCTTCATCTACGTTTTGTTCTTTTCAGGCCCTTAATGGATTGGATAATGCCTACCCACATTAGGGAGGGCCTTCTACTTAGAGTTGACTGAATCAAATGCTAATCTCATCCAGAAACTTCTTCACAGACACACTCAGGAATGTTTAATCTGGGCACTCCTCGGCCCACTCAAATTGCTAGGTACAATTAACCATCACAGACACAAACTACCCAAACTTCCAAAACTGATTCCAGAAAAAAATCAAAACTCTGAATAAACCAATAACAAATAAAGAGATGAATTTAACAATCAACAGTCTTCTTACAAAGAAAAACTCAGACCCAGATGGCTATGCTGATTACTTCTACCATCCAACTCAGAATTAACTCCAATCCTTCATAAACTTTTCCAAAAAAAATAAAGGAGGGAGGATTACAATTATATGCCACATAATGATGTTTAAGTAAACAACAGACTACATATACAATGGTGGTTCCATAAGATTATAATGGAGCTAAAAAATTCCTATTACCTAATCTACAGAAGTGTACAGTAATGTTTTAGGCCTTCAAGTTCACTTGCTACTCACTCACTCGGAACAACTTCTAGTCCTACAAGCTCCATTCATGGGAAGTGCCTGTGCAGGTGCACCATTTTTTTTATCTTATATATCATATTTTTACTGTACCTTTTCTATATTCACATATGTTTAGATACACAGATACTTACCATTGTGTTACAATTGCCTGCAGTACTTCATACAGTAACATGCCGTATGAGTTTGTCGCCTAGGAGCAATAGGCTATAGCATATAGCCTAGGTGTGTGTAGTAGGCTATACCATCTAGGTTTGTGTAAGTATCTTTTATGGTGTTCGCACAACCATAAAATCGCCTAATGACACATTATATTCTTGTCAGTAAGCAGTGTATGACTTTTCAACTCATTCTGAGTCCAGAATTATCCTGATACTAAAACCAAAGTCATTATAAGAAAAGAAAGCCACAGACCAATATTCTTTATGAATATAGACACAAAATTCCTCAGTGAAATACTACAAAAATGAATCCAATGATATAAAAAGAATTATGCACCATGACCCAAATGAGACTTTATCTAGGAATGCATGATTGGTTTAACATCTGAAAATTAATCAATGTAATGCACCATGTTAATAGAATAAAGGACAAAAACCACACATGATCATCTCAGTAGGCACAGAAAAAGCATTTGACAAAATCCAAAACCTTTCATGATTGAAAAAAACATAAAAGGCATCTACAAATAACGCATGGCTAATACATCTTAATGATGAAACACTGAAAGTTTTCCCTCCTATGATCAGTGACAAGATGAGAATGTCGACTCTCAACATTGTACCAGAGGTTTTAGCTGAGACAATTGCACAAGAAAAATAAACTTTTAAAAAATGGGAGGAGGAAAGGGAGGAGTAAAACTATCTCTATTTATAATTGACATGATATTATAAATAGAAAATTCTAAGGAATTCACACACACACAATTAGAGATAATAAATCAGTCTAGCAATGTTGCAGAATAGAGGATCCATATACAAAAATCAGTTCATTTTTATACACTAGCAATGAATAAGCTAAAAATGAAATTAAGAAAACAGTTCAATT